CTATTTGAAAATCTGGAATCTGAGGGTGCAAAAAAATCAAAATACTGAGAAAATCGCCTTTAAAGTTGTCCATATGAAGTTCTTAGCAATGCATATTACTAATCAAAAATTAAGTTTTGATATATTTACGGTAGGAAATTTACTAAATATCTTCATAGAACTTGATCTTTACTTAATATCCTAATGATTTTTGGCATAAAAGAAAAATGTATAATTTTGACCCATACAATGTATTGTTGGCTATTGCTACAAATATACCCCAGCGACTTAAGACTGCTTTTGTGCTCCAGGGTTACATTTATGTGAAAACTTACCCAGCATGCCAGCAATATATGCCTTCATCACCTCGCGGTGCTCTCTGTATCGCAGCATACACATCTTTCTCACTCTCTCCTGGTCCAACAGGAAGAAGTACCTCCTGAGGAACACACACACGCTTTCGATGCCTCCTCTACCGGGGCAGCCCATCTCCAGATAAAGACAGGCCAGCTGCGAGAGGTCAGCCTGGAGGTCAGGGGGCAGAGGTTTGGGGGAAAACAGCTGTATTAGTTCGACATGGCTCGCAAGAGGTGGGAACGGCACTCTGACTGGGGCGGTGGAACAAGGGATGCTCTCTCCAAGGTCCTCTTCTTCACTGAGAGTTGCGGATTCATCCAGATTAGGAGAGTAGATCTCTGGCTGAACCACGACGCAACAGGACATCGATGAAACCAGCTCTTCCTCCTCCAGGGTCCTCTCCTCTTGATTTGTTATTTCTGTAGGTCTGGTGTGATCCTCCGGACCCAGGACCCTCTCCAGAACCGGAGCCCACTCTCGAAGTACATCGCCGAGAGAGACGGGGTCCAGTAAAACCATGGGGTCCTGGATCTGAGAGCTACAGAGGAGCACATATCAGCTCTAATAACAGTCCAGTGCACAGAAAAACTAACTACAGTGACTGGGTAGTAATTTCAAGCGGTTTATTTAATCTAAAGCTATTTGAAAGAACTTGTCATTGTAATGATTATATGCACATTTTATGACTTCACATTAATTTAGAGACTAAATGTAAATATATGTACTTAAAAAAATTATTTGTCAGGATATTAAAATGAACAGCAAAAGGCTAAACACCACTGCGAAAAAACTTCTAAAAAAATGGTGCATATAAAATACAAAATTTCTCTTTTGCATTAATGTATTTTAACCTATAAACTTGAGGTTAAAAAATGTATTATTGACTATATTACCATTTAAAAGTTTGGGGTTGGCAAGATTATGAAATGTTTTTAAAAGTCACCCATCCTGCATATAGTAAAACCAGTAATATTGTGAAATATTATTGCAATTCAAAATCATGTTTTTCTCGTTATATATTGTAAAATGTAATTTATTTCTGTGATCAAAGCTGTATTTTCAGCATCATTACTCCAGTCTTCAGAGTCACATGATCTTCAGAAATCAGTCTAATATGCCGATCAAAAAACATTTATCAATACTATCAATGTTGAAAACAGTTTGATATTTTGTGGAAACCAGGATACATTTTTAAGGATCCTTTAATGAATAGAAAGTTCAAAAGAACAGCATTTATTTGAAATAGAAATCTTTTGTAAGACACTTCTGATCAATTCTATGCATCCTTTCTGAATATTAATTACTTTCCAAAAAACTCCCCCAACTTTTGAATGGTAGTGTATATTGATAACAAAAATAAGCAGTTTTTGGCCAAAATTTCCACATGATTTTATAATTCTCTGTATTATGTGCAAACATTAATTAGCTTATAATTCAACTTGACTGAACATATTCCTGCCTGTATGCAGCGGTATGAAGCAGCGCTCCTCTAAACTCACATGGCTTTCTTTGTGGCGGCCCTCAACTCCTGCAGCTCAGACTCAGAGCTGGACTGCTCAGCGCTCAGTCTTTCAGAGAGACAATCAAAAACCACAGTAAAAACAACGTGGATATACAAAACATCAATAGCAGCATTCAGAAATCATAAATAGGCAGTCAGAAAGTAAAACAGACTCACTCATGCTCGACTTCTTCTGGAAGAGGGGTCACTGTGGCCGTGACCTCCCCTTGAACCCCTTCCCTGAGGTCAGGCCGAGGCCACAGGTCTGCGTTCATCTGGAGCGTGTTGATCTTCTCGGTGGTCTTTTTCACAAAGCTAGAGACACTGACATACACACATTCACAAATATAAAACACTGAGATCGGCAAAGATTGTCCGAAATATAAGGAAATAAAATGCCACTGATTTTGCATAAAGAAAACAAAGAGCAGAAATAACTTGTAGGCTTACCAATCACACACATCAGCATAAAATGAGACAATGAGACAAAGAAATATGTGACACTACGACGAAACAGGAAGTCACAGTTTTAGAAAAAGAACCCTGCGTATCAGCAGCTGCTTGAGCATTAAAATAAGTTTGACTCTTCAGTGGAGTTTTACTTCCTTGTGATCCAGCCAATCACAGCAAAGCAGACTGTGTCTGGTGTGACATTTAAGAAGAAGTGAAATTATTACAGTAGAGTTTTTAGGGACAGCTGTATAAGTGTGTGTACCTGTCTCGAACAGCCTGCAGGGCGACTCGTGGGGGTTTTGAGCGGAAAGGCAGCGGCAGAAACTGCAAGCTGAGGTCTGACCTGTCGCTCTCTCCACGCACAGACTGAGAGTCTTCGGGACAGCAAAAGGAGGAGATGAAATGATAGTGGGATGAATGGAAAGAGAGAGAGAATGAAGTCAGGAGGGAAAATTAAGCAAAAGCACAGAATAAAGCAGATAATCACTGATAAGGTCAGCTAGCATGATGATCAGAAAATGTTCAAACACAAGATAAATGATTAAACTACTGCTCATTGATGTTTTTAGTGTGTTTTATTGCATAATATTTGACATACAACACATCGACATACAATAACTACTATAAAACTATAAATTAAAAAAAATATATATACAATATTTATGATAAATTTGATTTTTTTTTTGTCATAACCAGCTGTAAACTGCATTATATGTCAATCTCATTTGTCCATATATTGAACCTCAAAATCTTTTATTAAATATCAAATAAGTTCTGAATGGCTGTGAGTTTGTTGCTTTGTGCAGAATTTTTGCTTTCAGCAAGGATGTGAAAATTAAACTTAAACTTATTTACTATCTTAATACACATCCCTGGTCTTATTGTCAATTATTCATCTGCTGTATGTTATTCCAAATGGAAAAAAGAAATGTACCTCTAAAATGGCATTCATTCATTTTTGGCTAATCCTTCTTATTTTTTTTCAAGTAAATAGTCCCAGTTTGCATTTGTTTTCCATACTGAATATACTACTATAGCTCTGATTAATGTCAGATTAGTAAAACAGGTCTGTGTAGCTTTATGTGCTAAATATTTTTATGTGTTGAAGAAAATCTCTTTCTTATGGAAACCGGTTTAGCCCGAGATAAAAAAATTAAAAGTAAGTAATTGCAACTTTTTATTTCACAATTCTGCAAGTTTATATCTTGTGAGTTTGTGAATTAACAGTTCTGGGGAAAAAAAGTCATACTTGCACGTTTATTTTTCTGAGTTTGTATCTTGCAACTCTAAGAAAAATTGTGAGATAAAAAGCTGCGATTACCTTTTTAAAAATTTTTTATCCCAAGGCAGAAACAAGGTTTCATACGTTCTGATCAATAATGAAATGTGAGTGGAGTATTTCCTGCATCAGGACACATAATTCCCACTGAGAGAGCCGGAATCTGCTAACTCGCTTTTAGGTTTGAAATCGATCTTTCGCCCATCTCTGTGACTCTCTCTCAGTCTCACCATTCTCCACCTGCTCGTCCTCGGTGAAACTGAACTCCTTCAGCCGCTCCTCCTCAAGCATCGATTGGTTGGCGAGGGAGTTGGAGTCATCGTCTGATTGGCTGCCTCTTCGGCTGATGACGCGGTAGATGCCGCAGTCCAGAACGTTGAAGCTCTCCTGCGCACAACAGGAAGAGTCATTTTCTTTACTTTTTTTTTTTTAAGTTATATTTATGGGCTTTTTAATGCCTTTAATGTGATATGCACTAACCACGAGGCTATAGGAAGAGTCATTTTCATTTCGAAAACGTGTGTCTATACATATGCCTGCGTGTTTTTGGACTCACGTGTGAGGAAATGCTGCTCCTCCGGCTGCTGCAGGCGGAGTCCAGTGGCTCCAGTTTGCTGATCACGTCCTCAAGCTGACCAATCAGCTGTTGCTGGGAGGCGGAGTTTAGCTGAGCCTTGAGCTGCTCCAAGCGATCAATGGGGAGGGACTTCCTGGCCTAAGGAGGAAACGCAAAAGAGAGAGACTATATTAGGAATGGAGTACTAATGTAATATTTAATGCATACTGCAAAGTACATACTGCCTCCTAAATAGTACGCAGAATGCATACTACATGTGTTGGTGTTTGCATGTGTACCCTGGATGTAATAATTGCGTGCTGAAACATGCAGCAGACGGTGGCGGCGAGCGTCCAGCTCTCCCTCTTCATCAGACGCTCCACACAGCGCTCAGGTGACATCAGCGACAGGTGAGACAAACGTCCATCACCATGAAGACAAAACAGCTCATTACGGAAAACTGAAATCTCCACCACATCTTTAGAAAGAAGAAGACAGATACAGATCCCAGAGCTGTAAAATCAGGTCATACAATATTTAAAATATATATATATGTAAAATTTATACATTTTGTTTTTACAAAGTTATACAAAAGATTACACACACACACTCTATATATATATATATATATATATATATATATATACACATTTATTTATTTTTGAGGAAATATATTTTCGTGCATTATGAGGTTTCATACTTAAAACCTCATATAGGTTGAACAACAGGCGTGACCTCTCACCTTTGACCTCTGTCCACAGCAGAACCTGACCGCTGTGAGGAGTGAAGATATAGATGGCCGAATCCGTCCAGGTGAGCAGGTTTTGATCACTAAGAAACACACACACAATTCTCAAGTTAAATATTAACCCTAAAACCCGTTCTAACCTGAGACGTTATCTTCATAGTCATAATAGCAGGTATGAAAGATTGTGTCTTTACTAAAGGTCTTGTGTTATTATAGTACGAAGAGTGGTTACCCAAACTGAAGGAGTCTTGGGAAAGCCAGAGACTGTGGACTCGTCTGTGTGGGGTTGAAATGTGGCTCATTCCTGAAAACAATGTGTAAAAATACACAACAAATATATAGAGAGAAAAGGATGGAGATACAGACCTAAGAGGTAAAACAACAAACACTAATGAGGTCACAAGTTAGTGATAAACACACAAACACTCACTTGTAAGAGACGAGGGGCAGCGGTGGGCAGGCCAGCAGCTGTTTGAACTGGTGTGTGCTCAGGACCTCTCCACTGAAATTGGCCTCCCATATTCGGGAGCCAGGCCGGGCACAGTACAGCAGCGCCTGACCCCGCTGACCCGCCGGACCCTGTGAGAGAAAACATGCCCCAAACTCTCCATCTCGCTCTTTATTACCCACACGCCAGAACTTCTCCCTGAGAGTGGAAGAGAGACGGGAACAGAGTGAACTTTCATTTAGTTTTTCTTACGATTTTAATTTAAGTTACAGTCTGAGGACATGGAGGATAATGTGATACCAATGTCTGACATGATATTTTGATCATATGCGACCCTGGACCACAAATCCAGTCATAAGGGTAAATTTTTCGAAATTGAGATTTATACATCATAGGTCATATGTCCAGGATAGGACAATATTTGGCCGAGATACAACTATTTGAAAATTTGGAATCTGAGCGTGCAAAAAAAATCTAAATATTGTGAAAACTGCATTTAAAGATGTCCAAATTAAGTTCTTAGCAATGCATATTACTAATGAAAAATTAAGTTTTAATACATTTACGGTAAGAAATTTACTAAATATCTTCATGGAACATGATCTTTACTTAACATCCTAATGATTTTTGGCATAAAAGAAAAATCTATAATTTTGATCCATACAATGCATTTTTGGCTATTGCTACAAATATAACTATGCGACTTAAGAATGGTTTTGTGCTCCAGGGTCACATATGAAGAGCCTAATTTAAAGGGGTCATATGATGCTTTTTTAAAGACCATTATTTTAGGGGGGTGTGGCAGAGTCTTAACTTTGATAAAGAATATCTCTTTGGTTTTGAGACTTTAGTCTTTGCAACTTCAGGGATCTTATCTATGCACAATCAGCTTGTAACACTCCAAAGAGAAAGGAAAACTTGAAATCGCATCATATGACCCCTTTAAATTAAATGCTACAAATGGTTCAAAAACATTCTAGTGATCTAGTGATTTCTTTTTTTTAACTAATTGTCAGAATGTCAGTATAGTTGTGCGATATGTGTCGTCCCATGTCTCCTGCAAACACACACACCTCTCTGTGTCACACAGGTAGCAGCGGCTGAGAGACGAGACCACCAGATGTCCGTCTGAGTAGCCCAGCTGAATGACATGTGAATCCACTGTGGTGATGGTCTGAACCGGGAACATCACAAACGCTGAGCCCTGTTTGGACGCCAAACAGACACCACAGCAAACACACAAGCATAGAATAAAATCACCAATTAACATTTAAATCAAATGCAATAGTGTTAAAAAAATTTGAGGTCAGTGAGATTTTTGTTTTTGAAAGAAATTAATATTTTTATTCAGAAAGGACGCATTAAATTGATCAAAAGTGACAGTAAAGACATTTATAATAATACAAAAAATTATATTTAAAATAAATGCTGTTCTTTTGAACTTTCTGTTCATTGAAGAATCCTGAAAAAATGTTTGAAATGTTTCTTGAGCTCATATCAGCATATTAGAATGATTTCTGGAGGATCATGTGACACTGAAGACTGGAGTAATGATGCTGAAAATTCAGCTTTGATCACAGAAATATATTAAATTTTAACATATATTCAAATATAAAATAGTTATTTTGAACAGTAATAATATTTCACAATATTACTATTTTTACTGTATTTTTTATCAAATTAATGCAGCCTTGATGAGCATAACAGGCTTCTTTTAAAAACAGTACATACAGTAATGTATGGCCAGACTGACATACATAAAACTTTTAAGTTTTCTTATACCTTCCCAAGTTTAGATGACCCAGCCCGGACACAGGACACTTTCCCTCCGACATCTCCGGCAAACACTCGGAGGGCCGCGGTGTCCCAGCACAGAGATGTTACTGTCTCTCCGCGATGCTCCCAGGACACAGAGATGCGCTCCGGACGGCCACGCCGCTCCAAATGCAGCTCCCACACCACCACCAAACCCTGACTGGGGGACACACGCACCAAAAGAGTCCAGACTGGCAACCAAACACACCAGAAGCACATATAAACGGAGATGGGGTGACTATGAATACCTCGTTGCTACGGCGATAAAGTCTTCATCATGGGGGCAGCATGAGACCTGCGTGACTGAACCTTCCTAAAAAAAAAAAAGCAGAACTCACTTTCATTTTTTTTTCCATTTATAATAAGTTTTCCTATTTTCACTGTTGCCTGTGCACACTTCCTGCTTTCTAGCTTGTAAAAACACTTTTCATAGGTCAAAGTGGAGCATGATGCGCTCTGAGCCCTGACGTAACTGTAAGTTGATGCCAACGCACTACTCTGTATGACTGTGTGATCAATAGCTATTTATAAACACAGGAAAAAGCAAATACGTCATGCATATATTGTTGCAGATTGAGAAGTTTAAACACGCAAATTAGGGCTGCATGATTTGAGAACATTTTCTTTAGCAATTTTTCTACTCAATTTTAATTGTGTTAATAATAATTAATCTTACTTATAAAATTATAAATGATACAATATTAAATATAAAATTAATTATAACCATTATTATTATTATTAAATAAAAATATAAAAAAATCAAATAAGAAATATTAATATTGTAATATTTCACTGTAAAATAAAAAAATTAGTATTCAAGAAAAATAATATAATAAACATTTTTGAAACTGTAAAATTACAATATTTACTAATATTTATGGCTGTATAATAAATACAAATATTTCAGCAAACTTTTATTTTACTGATTTAAAAATGTTTTTAAATGTATTTATTTAAAATGATCATTATATTGTCATTATATTTCAGTAATTTAAGCTAATACCGTAATGTTGCAATGCAAAAAATGGTGATGGTAATTTTCTTCATCCAAAATATATTTTCAGATTTTTTTCCTTTTGGGGTGAAAGACGACCCAAACATGTTTTGTCAGATTCATCCACTTACTCTCCATAAGTAAAATAATTCTTATTTCATAAAATCAAATAAACTGAACCCTGCAAACAGAAACTGAAGCATGTTATAAATTATAAATTATACAATATGAAACATAAAATTAATGATAACAATTAATATTATTATTAAATAAAAATATAAAAAATCAAATAAGAAATATTAATATTGTAATATTTCACTGTAAAATTAAAAAAATGAGTATTCAAAAAAATATTGTAACAACAACAATTTTTTACATTACAACTGTAAAATTACAATATTTACTAATATTTATGGCTGTCTTATTTCCTTCATTTTCAAATGTTAAACCATTAAACTTTTATTTTGATGGAAAGCTTCTCTTTTGTTATTTTGAGTTTGCGTGGAGCAGCATTTACTGTGAACCAAGCCACTCTGAGATGCTGAAAACAGCGGATAATGAGCTGCTCACGTGTAAATGAACACAGAGTTTACTCAGTGCATATATTATTTAATTAAATCACAGCCTTTGTGATTTGATAATCACACTAAGCCATATCACAATTCTTGTTTTATTTTGATTAATCATGCAGCCCTAATGCAAATACATTAATATCTAACATAACATTGAACAGTATTTCGACACTGCTGACAGTTCTGTGCACCAGCTGAATCACTAACTGTGTTAAAGGAGAACTTGTGAAATGATTTAGTTGTGTGTACTTTGTGTGTGAGAATGAGTTTCTGCTTCCAGCCGTCTCTCTGAATGAGGTGAAGTCCTCCGGCAGACGTGCCTAAAGCCAACCACTTCCTGGACACGGAGAGACATGTGCACTGCGAGATACAAAGACAGAAACAGATAGAATATTAGAGAGAATTAGCGACATATTAGAGAGAATCTCACAAAATCTGCCAAGAACAAGAAAGAAAATAATATAAATACATAATATAAATAATATATAAATAACATAATAATATTAATAATAATATAAATATTTTTGCTTAAAGAAAAGGGCTATGAAGATAATTTTCATGACCATTTAAAAAAATTGTCATTAATGTAATGCAACAAAAAAAAATCCTCATTACTGAAATGCAAATAAAATTAATTATATGTAAAATGTTAATTAGTATTCTTATATTAGTTATAACATTTTATACATTAAATTGATAAATATTTGTTGTACTGCTTTTAATTTTTGCTGAATTAAAAAAAATGTAATTTCTTTAAAATTATCATTATATTTCAGTAATTTAAGCTAATACTGTAATGTTGCAATGCAAAAAATGGTGATGGTAATTTTCTTCATGCAAAATATATTTTCAGATATTTTTCGTTTTGGTTTTTGGGTGAAAGACGACCCAAACATGTTTTGTTAGATTTATCCACTTACTCTCCATTAGGGGTCGACCGATATGTGTTTTTAATGGCCGATGCGATACCGATTATTACAGAAAGTTGACCGATAACCGATATTTTGAACCAATATATATGTCTGGTGTAAAAATGAAAATTAATGTCAAAATTAAGAATAACAAGGGCTCTGACAAAAACTTTCTTTAAATGCTTTTAAATTATTTTATCGGCAAATCAATTTTTGAAAATGACTGATACCGATACCGATAACCATAAAAATGCTTAATATCGGTGCCGATAAAGGTAAAATACTTCTTATTTCAGGCTGAAAAGTAAACAGCACCAACCATAATTCAGGTCAGTTTGAATAACAGTTGCCATAAAAGCCGTTACACTCCAAATGTTTAGTCTTTCACAATAGTTGAGTAGGTAAACGTGTGGTTTACTTTGATCCGTCCCGAGTCCAGTCGCAGGGCGGAAAGAAGGGGGTCCAGACAGTCAAACTCTGCCAGGACATGAGTGCAGAACTCCACAGGAATCACAGGAATCATCCTGCACCGGTCTGAGAGGAAACAACAATAACACTGGGTTGTTTTAGTGGGAACCAGTGCATGCAGCATGTTTGCCTAACCAAACAGCATTTCAGTGTATCATAAATGCATTCCTAACAGCAGCTTTGGGCAAAATATGCATGCATGGCATGTCTGAACAAGCAATCAATCACAAAAAGATATGCAAATATTCAGCAAATTGTGACGGGGTGCACAAAAACTCAAGCAGGTGATTCAAGTGCCCAATCAGCAACACCACAGGTCATTATACTCCAAATTTACACTGCAAAGGTGGCACAGACGTGTTTCTGAAGTGGTGTTTAGGTGACGGTTTAATGCTGCTCAGAGGTGGCTTAAATGCATTTACACAGCAATTCCCGTTGTATATTTTGATACTAGGGACTGAGGTCAATCAGATCAAGCATAAGTTAGTCTGGCTTTTATGCAGCACTGTGTCTTTACAAAGAATTTTGTGCAGGGACAGAGCAGCCATATCCTGGCCTTTATGGTATGGAGTTGCCTTACTGCAAGAATTAATTTCTACTCATTTCCTTGTTATTCTGAAAAAAAATGATATATATTGCACTATGGGAATTAAAAGGGCAGGCCTTAAGGTAGACAATAGCTGGGTTTCCATCACCCTGCTTTTATGCACATTTTGAAGTATCGCATCAGAATCGAGTGATGGAAACGCTGAATTTCGAATAAAAATGCCTTAATTCGCAAAAAAGTTTTTACGCTCGCTTGAGGTGGATTTTGACTTGTGCGAAAAAGGGTTAATGCGAATAATGGGAGATGGAAATGCATGTTGCGAATAAATTCCTCCAAGCGCATCAAAAAAGTCATGTGACTTTGCACTATGGGATGGCAAATCCTGACTAACCAGCGGACCGATCTCATTCACAGCATCTGAAATGTTGTTATGGTCATTCGGAAATGCCCGAGCAAAGTCTGTCATCAAAGTATTTCTGTATAATTGCCTCCCAGAACTGTTAAACGGCTGCGTTCCCAAACAGCAGCATCCACCTCCGAAAGCAATTACCGATTCATTGTGTTTCGTCTGCTCGCTCTGAGGTGCAAGTAATTTATTATATAGGAAAATGATTATATTCAGTAGCTTCTCCTACTTTTCTTAGTGATGTATAATGCCAGTTTATCAGGAAGTGATGATTTTGTTCTCTTTGACTCGTTGGATGGAAACGGTGCTTGTTCGCAAATGTTTTGTGCGATATTCCAATTTTGCGCATAAGTTAAATTCGTAACTTTGGATGGAAACCCGGCTAGTGATGTGCTGTTTTTAAGTCACATGACATTTGACTGTCCGTCCAGAACTCTTTTTCTCACGGTCACCCTCACAAAAAACACCTGCTGAAGTGCTCCAGAAATTGCTCTATTAACCTAATTTCTAAACATCTCTTCTCAAGGGGGATTTTTTTTACAGCATCTTTGTTAAGTAAATTAGATATTTTTATTCACAATTTAACTTTGTCTAATATAGTCTCACTGTAAATTGAGAAAATATCAATGTTTCCATATGGCAACGCAGTCCCACAGTGGAATTGCAGTAATGTATTTCCCCATTGGGATTTTTTATAGATAGTAGCATCAATAATATGATTGCAGTTATTCTTCTTTTAAAAAAAAAAAATGAATACAGCAATATTTTACAGAAAGGCCTGTAGGATGTGATGCGAGTGAGGATGAGTTAGCCTTCAGTGAAGGGTAAATGATAGGGATCTACTTATGTTTGGTTTGCATGAGTTCCGAGTATCTAAATCTATCAATTTCTAAAAGAAATGTGCATTTAAATAAAAAAGAATTTCATAATTTTATAGAAAAACTACTTTTTTTAACATTTTCCATTGTGCCATATAGCAGCATTTCCCCCAAAAATCTTTTTTTTTCTCCAAACATATGTTTTGATTTGTATGATTGAAGCTTTTTCATGTTATGAAAACTTATTTAAAAAAAATATTTGATAGAAAAACTACTTTTTTGAACATTTTCCATTTTGCCATATACCAGCATTTCCCCCCCAAAAAATGTTTTCTTCCAAAAATCTGTTTTGATTTGTATGATTGAAGCTGTCGTGTTATATAAACTTATTTCAAAATAATATTTCATGGTTAGAACATAATGCACATCATAGAAGGTTAACATGGCTGTGTAAAGACCTGACTCTCATGATGCCCAAAAATGTTCCCTCAGTAGTCAGCACAGTGAGCTCACTAGGTTTTGAGACACATCCCAACTCAGTGTCATATGATTCCAAGGAAATCCAATTGAATAAGCATGACTACCACACACCTATCCTCCTTTTAGTGATTTTCTGTCGCTTTTATATACAACTACAGTACTGTATCAACTATATAATATTAAACAATGCATAACATTAACCACATACACAACAAAAACCCAATATCCGAGTGACAGATGCATAACATTTCATCTAAGTTAACGTTATTTGGGAACATTTATTTTAGGAAGAAGAGAAAAACGCTTACCAGCTCATGCATATACACACAGTTTACCACTTCCTCTTCGTCTGAAACAAATATTTACAAGAATTCAGTTTGTAAAACACTATCTTAAGTTAAAAGTTACAAATCAAAGCGACGCGTTAGCCGATTAGCATGACTGTCAATCACGAGATCTGAGCTTGAAACTCGCCAAAACAGCATAAAACATCGAATAAATCTGTTTTTGTTTAAATTTGTTCCTCACGTTGTGTCTTTAACCAGTTTAATAAATGTGAAACTTGATACTGAGCTGGAAGCTCGGGTACTTTCACATCCAACAACGTGTTAGTTTCTATTTCTCCTCCTAATGAGTAAATCCTTCAAGTTATGTCATTTACGTTTAAGGCAACATAAAAAAATACTTTTTAAACCTTATTTACTCAGCAACTAAGAAAGCTGAACTTATTTGAGTTGGTAAATGTGTCACCTCAAGCATTTCTATAAAGTATTTAACATCAATTAAACGCGTTTTACCTCCTCCTGAGCTCCAGGCGCATTTAAATCTGCGAAATCTCCAGAAGTGTAGTAAAACCGACTTATATAGTGTGTAAAAAAGTGAGGATAATGTGTGTTTGTGCCGCTGTAAGTTGTGTTTGACAGCTGACTGGAAAACTGACCGGCGCTACTTCCTCATTAGACTCCACTCACTGTTACGCGCAGTGATACACACTCAGCGCGGGGAACTATTTCTGGCGCATTTGGACAATACTTGCCATCAAGTAGGCTACTTGGGGAGCTTTACATACTAAATAAATTAACAAAGTAAATAAATCTTCTAATTATGCATTAAAAGTTCAAGTTTGATCTAAAAACATCTGTTTTACAAACAAATAAGTGTTACAGACGCGTAGGTGTTCTAGCAGTAAATTGGAGTCCATGGGTCCATTAAAAGCTCTTGCTGTATTGATTGATATTCGAGATGCCCACGAGAATAAAGCCTGTTCCAACAGCAAGCAAAAATAGCAAAGCCTCTACCCTCAAACATCTTATGACCTTGTAGTAAATGTGTTTAAAATGCAGATATAGATGTATGAATTTTGGGTAACACTTTACTTGAAGGGGTGTGCATAAGACTGACATGACACCTACATAATCATGACATGACACGTCATGAATATGAAGGAGGTTTTATGCATGTTTATGACAACTGTCATTAAGTGTCATTCGCTCAGTTATGTCATTTTTAATGCAAATATGACATTATTTGACCTAACCCTACCCCTAACCATAGCCCATAACAAAGACATCTCAAACAATGTCATCTTTGCATTAAAAATTACATAACTGAGCGAATGACACTTAATGACAGTTGTCATAAACATGCATAAAAAACCTTCATATTCATGACAGTGTCATGTCATAATTATGTAGGTGTCATGTCAGTCTTATGCACACCCCTTCAAGTAAAGTGTAACCGAATTGTGTTATAAAGATAGCCATCACCAAACTCAAGCACATAATGACTACTGAACTGTGTCAAAGACTATAGAATACTCTTAAAGAGACTTTGACTGTATGGTGGGTCTTGAGAAGTTATTAAAATCTACAACAGTATTGATTACTGCATCAGTGCTGCTGCATGCTATCTTGAGACCAATACAAAGGAGGTAACATGCCACAAACTGGACAGATTTGATTTGATTAGTGACCTACTGTAAAAGGTGCAGAATCTTATTAAATGTTATTATATTTATAGTAATATTTATGACTATAATTTTTCCCAAAATATGTTTAAAAGTTTGGTTTTGAGCATGTTTAAGAACATAATTCTATTTATTAAAATAAAAATAAATATACAGATTAAAATAAAACTGATTAAAATTAATACAAAATAAAAAACAGTAGTAATGGTAATAATAATAATCCGATAATTTATATTATATTTTATATATATTTACAAATTCATAAAATAAATTTATAAATTGATAATTAATAGATTATTATTATCATTACTACTAGTTTTTATTTTGTATTAATTTTAATGGAAGAACCATATGTGTGGTAACTGTTCTACATTTGTTAATTATTAAAATTAAAAAGAAAGATTAAAATAAAAATGATTAAAACAAATAAAAATAATGATTATTAGTAAAAATAATTAATATAAATATGTAAGTAATATATATGTAATTTACTTTTTTAATTATTTAAAATGTAATACATCTAACAAGTACTATAGTGAGTAGAAAAAATTAATAATTTAACATAATAGAAACTCAATATCTTCCAAACAGTATTTTACACATATTTATAATATACATTTATACAATATACATGACAACATATAGCTGTCTTTAAAATTTTATGGTGAGGGGCCACGGCATCTAAAAGATTAAAAACCCCTGGTCTAACACACAAAAGCATGTTAATGCACAAACACACTTTCTTATCTATGGCACGATATGAATTTGAAACGGAACAATGAATAACAGCTTCCTCACTGCATGTACGCTTGGGTAACGGAGTACTATGAGGAAGCTCTTTTAATGTAACACACGAGACCAGTTTAACAGTTTAAATCTTGACTTTATTTACAATAACATCCACAACTCAGTGCAGCTAGAGAAGACGCATTACTAAGCAGCGCGGATGAGCGTGTGCGCGTGTTCGTGACACACAGATCAGTTTAATGCACTACATAGAAATGATTTATTTATTAACAGTATTGCTATATCCGCTCCCATTGGCGTGTCTTGAGCAACTGTTTTCCAATCAGCCTCAAGTCTCGGGAGGGTTGAACTGGATTGCAATATCCGATTTGTAAAGGGTCCTCCTTATCACTGACTTAAAAGCTTTTCCCTCAAACGGAGTCCTTTGCATTAAACATGATAAGTTCCTGAGTTTCCACCGATATTATTGAGCCCAGTTTGGTCATTGTAGAAATACAACACTGTTAAAATTTCACATCTTACCTAGGAAATGAAATTATCCACTGAGAAAAAAAAAAAAAATAATGGGAAAGGCAAAAAATGGAACGGAATTGAACAAACAAAGTAAAGAGAGAAGAAAATAATTAGTTATTTGTGACTGGCACAACCCATCTCCACATGGACCAATAGGATTACAGAATTTGCTTCTCCAAGCCCCTCCCCCAGACAGACGTGCTCACTAGCACCTCCAGCTCTGATTGGCTGGAAAATCCACCCATCAGGCTCCAGTCGGCCCAAGCTGGGAGAGAGTGTCTCTGTTCTTCTCCCATTTTCTTTCAATTCAGTCTTTTCTCTCTTTCATGGCTTTCGCTCCGTCTCCTCAGGTTTTTCTCATCATTCTGCGCATCTGCCAGGCTTGGAACTTGTTGTACGCAGCCTGAAGCATTTCCTCCAGGTGACCCGTTAGCTGTTGCAATCAGAAAACACAGGAAAGTATTACGTTAAAAATACTGATACATGAAAAAAATTAGATTACACCACCTTGCAAAGCCTGTATACCCTTGTAAATGTTCACACAATATGAACAAAATATCAAAAAGACACAATCCAAATACAGGAATAACATCAGAAAATTTAGACACTTTAGACCTCAAAATAACACATTTATGCACGTAATAGGTTTAACAGAAGTACAAGCTGTTTTTTAAACCCTCCAAATTATCTCGCCACATAGACTTTCATTAAAAGTGGTTATTTTGAACTGTAAAAACTCATCAGTTGTGATCCTTGATGGTCAAAACAGACCAAAAACAATAAGTATACAATATTTTGTTTCAACAATATTTGTTCTTTAATATTTTGGATTTTGAGGGGATTTTGTGGTACTAGACAATATTTAACTCTAAATTATGCACCAACATAATACAAAATATTAGAAACGTATTTCATATTATTTTGCATTAATACAGTGTTTATGTTAAACATGCAAATATATATTACCTAGTTGCTTTTAAGTGTTTTCAGACATAATTATAATAATTTCGAATAGGTATTGCATTTGTATTTCTATTTAAACTGCATGAAAAACTGCTTAATTGTGACTGATTTGTAGATTATACCCCCAAAAATTGCTCTTTATTTTGATTTTTGTTTTTGCATTTCCCATTCATGTTCATTTGCCAGTCATTTTTTGACTGCAAAGATCACAAGTGTCACTATTTTTTTTAAAGCATTTTCTAATCATGTCCACATTTTTATGTGTTCATATAACAAGTTAAGTCACAAAGCTTCATAAAAAATGTCAAAAACTGAAAATCTAAAAATGACCACCACTGAATTCAACAAGTACATCATAAGCTCTTCCACACGGTTCCAGAAATGATCAATTCTGGGCTGTCTTTTGAGACGAGCATTAATTATTCATGTTTACTCTAGTAGTACAATCCATTACAGTAAATGGAGGGGGTGTGGCCAGGGGCGTGGCCTTACACTAGTGCTCAAATACTGCCGTTGGATCTTCTCTTGAAAGGGGCGGAGCTTCATCACCTGGAATTTCTCCAGGTTAGATTTCATCTTTACCACCTGTGAGCAGAAAAAACTAATCACAAATAAATACTTTATTATTAATTTGGAAATATTGGTAACTGAAGGTGCATTTCTTCACCTTTTCCTCCAGGAAGGGAGTGCTGACGGGGAAACATGACCAGAAGTGTCGGAGCAGCTCTCCGGCGGCTGTATATAAGTGCTTCAGCTCGCTCTGAACATCAGTGGGCACTAATTCTGCATAAACAAACACAAAGAGAGTATGCATCAAGTTAATGGGCAGTAAAATGGCTTAATGAGGTTTAAAATGCCTGTTTGCATTAAAATCTCAGTTGAAGCAACATTTGATATTATGATGGGATGAATAGACAGTCAAACACTCACGGTTAATGGTCTGTTGGCCTCCGCCCTGCATCAGAACCCCTCCAGGTGACAGCGCTGTGATGGCGGAGCTCGCCGCACTGCTGGACATCACCTGAAACAGCCCGGAAAATATAATTTGTGACCCTGGAGCACAAAAGCAGTCTTAAGTCGCTGGGACATCAATGGAAAGATTATTTATTCAGCTTTCAGAAAAGGTATAAATCTCAATTTCGAAAAATTGACACTTAAGACTGGTTTTGTGGTCCATGGTCACATATAATAAAATACAGACTAGAATCCAGGACTTCTAGCCACAGATTTCAGTGGTGTACCTGCGTCAGACGGGGTTTATAGCTCCTCATCTCGTGCTGGATAATGCTGATGGAGTTGATAATGTCCTGACTGGTGGAGTAATGCTGCGACTGAAGAGGAATCGGGCCGTGGGAATATCTTCCAGGAACAAACAAATGCAAAATACAAAACACTTGATATGAAGATCCACAGATTCTAAAAACATTGTGTCAGGCAGATACAGGTGCTGGATGTTTACCTGTCTGATTTCTTCAGGTTCAATGAGATGGTCTTACGCCCAGAGTCACCCTGCAGGTCATCATACTCTATGGCTTCCTGTAATTTTACCTGAAAAGCCACAAAAAGAGAAGTAAGAATCTGGTGTCGCTCTTGTTGAACATAAAAAAAAAAGACAGATATGTCATTTTTGGAAATTTATGTTATGTTTTTCCTAAATACTGAATATATTTAATTGAATTTAATATAGTAATCTTAATTTTATTTTATATTAAATTAAATTATATATATATATAAAATATGTTTAAAA